ATAAAATTGGGTATGAAATATTTCTTCCAATTGTTGCCAAGTATAAACTGAATTTGCTGGTAAACTTATATACCAAGAAAATGTGGTCCCTATTAGGGAATTAACAAATAGCCTTTATTTTAAAAATTCATTTGCTCCAGCCTCACCACATTGAATGGTAAACCGACCAATATGTTCTATGGTCGAAGTAGAGTCTTTTCCCGAAAAAGTAACGAAATTGGGAACTTTATAGCCTTTTGGAAACTTATATCGGTTTATATAGTGTGGATATGACTTCCTGGCGACCAACTCTCTTTGGGGTTGGTCTATAAGTTTCTTGAATTAAATTAGCTAATTGATCTCTATCAACTATAAGAGGTTGATGATTTGGCTGTTGTACTTGAGGTTGATGCATATAAGGTGCCTGAGGCTGATGCACATACGGTACTTGAGGCTGAGACACGTTCGGCACCTGAGGCTGAGGCATATACGGCGCTTGAGGCTAAGACATATATGGCGCTTGAGGCTGAGGCGTTGGAAAATTAAAACCAGCATAAAAATTATCTCGCCCCTCTTGGGGCTAACATACCTGCACTTAGTGTTGATAAATCGGATTAAGTGGTCGCCAATTCACATTCTGATTGGTCCTTCGATTTGTTGATATTCCGCTGGTATCTGATGTTGCGGCTGATTAGCTTGCGATTGATTGGCCTGCGGTTGATACTGTCCACGCAACGGCTATAGAAGGGGTTGAAACCCTTGCCGCTGTTGTTGGTAGTAATTCTGTTGAACCCCAACATGCGTTGGAACTTGTTGTTGTGCATGCAACAAAGTATTTGTAGTATTTGACCGTGTCATAAGGTGTTGATCAAACCTTGTTGATAAGACGGTCAAAGAGTCATTCAAATTAGTCAATGTGTTATGGATTGGCTCTAGTGCTCCATGAAAGGTACGGTTAGAAATTTCCATCCGTTGCACTAAGTTGTTAACATTCTCAGCCAACATCTGATTACTTGGTTGTTGATTCACTTCCACTCCAGCCTCTTGTTCCTGATGTTGAGGCTGCTAATTCACTTCGAGTTCAGCCCCTTGTTCCTGATGTTGAGGTTGTCTCTCAGGCAAATTTTGTGATTGAGACTGAGTAAATGCCATAGATGAAAGTTGAATTTAAACACTTCCGATGTTCCATCGGGTGTGCCAAATTGTTTGGCTGTTTTTTTTTTTAAAGGTGTGCTAGAGTCTTTCGGCCTAAGGGGTTAGATAGCCAAACTATCATTGGTGCTGACCGAATCTAAAATCGACCCTTGGTGAATCAGGCGACTGTTAGAAGGTAAGGATGACCCATTCTTTCAGGTTATTCAACGCCTCAATAAAGAGGACTTTCAACACTATAAGTAGAATGGATGAAGGGAGTAAAACAAATTACCTGAGCATTCATCTATTCTAAGAGACTTAGAAAATAAAAATAGAGGGGACTGAAGCCAAGTGTTGACTTTTATTTCATAAGTAAAATTCCCATACCGAGTACAAGAATTGTAAATCTAACACTAGGCTACTCATATGAACAGAAGTAAAGTACAAGTAAAAAACTGTATGAAAATTGCAGAGAATGAAAAATCCTAAGCAAAAGAAGTGTAATATAATGAAAATACTTAAGTAAATTGTAGGAATGGAAAATGCATTGTGTGGTTGGGGAACTCTGTGCAGACTTCTTCTGTCTCTATTTATAGAGAAATCTTGTAGCAGCAGTTTCTTTTTTAAATTCAAATATTATTTGGATTCTAAAAACTACTTTTTCCTTAATCTTATCCATGTGTCTTAACCTTATCCAAATACCTATGTTTTGAAACAAAACAAACGTGACTTTAGACTCCAATTTTTAAATAAAAGTCCTATTTAATAAGACGGTATATATCTTTTCCTCCAATCAAATAACACCATGTGTTTGAATAAAAAAAATTAATTTTATGGTGCAAACAGGGTTTATTTATTTTTTCTCTAGGGGTATTTTTTCGCATTTCAAAGTAAAATATTAAGGGTTCAAATTTCATACGAATGAGATGAGTATGAGTTTCTTGCAGAATATATATATATATATATATATATATATATATATATATATATATATATATATTATCTTCTTCATCTTTTTCATATTGAATTTGAATTTGTTCGGTGGGCTTCATGAATGCAACCTAGATTTGGGTTAACCATATATATCTTGTATTATTGTGTGTAATTTTTTTTTTTCTTTGTGATTGCTTAATTATTTCTCGAAGACTATTGTTTATTTTGCGTTTCGCCACAATAACTGATATCAAAGAATTTGATTGATTGTGTACCAACTCCAATGTTAGTGACACTAATAAAATAATTCTCATAAATTTCAAAGATTATGAATTATTATAATAAATTAACAAACCAGGAATACCTTATACCTCATTTCCCCAAAAAAAAATTAAAAATAATATTTATTTTTGAATTTTAGCGACAAAAATATCTTGCAAAGTATTAATATTTTATTTATTTTTACAAATACCAATTTAAATTCAGTTTGAACCTGCTGTTTGGGGAAAGATTCTGACGATAGATAATCTGAAGAAAAGGGAAAATTTTCTTGTTAATTGGTGCTGTTTATGTAAGCAGGATGGGGAGTCAGTTAATCATCTCCTACTGCATATGTCAACGGAGTTTTTGAAGGTGTTGGAGCAACAACTATGCTTTGCATCTCTAAACGGCCCTAAGTCCTGTGTAGAGAAATATGCCCCGAACAAGTTCGGTAGCAACCGGGGCCGAAAACCCTAAAACTGGAGACCTTGTGAGAGAATCAATACAGGCTGACTAGGCTTGTAAAGCACAGTTCTTTTTCTTTCCGAAAATGATATTTGAAAACATGATAACAAAAATTATTGAAAGTTTGAGTTAATTCGAGGGTGATAATTCATATTTATGACGGAGACTTTTAATCTATGTAATAGTGTAAAATAGTGTCGAATTCATCATTCAAATAAGTCACAATAACTACAGAGAGACTCAAACGTCTCTCATGAAAATTTTACTCCCAACATTCGTTAGCATTTTATATTTGAATTTTATCTCAATTTTTTTTGGATCCATTTTTCACGGTCTAAGAATTATCAGTCTCTCTACACTCACGCTCTGGATTTGTTGGTTACAAGTAAGACTTTTACCCATTTATATAGACATATTCCACTTGTTGGGAACTTGGGATGCATTACATGCAATCAAAGACTACTCTATGTAATTCTCTTCTAAAATATACATTTACAAAACCACTACCAGTATCGTGTCTATTCTATAAATTTCTACCACCTTTTCAAATCCTTCACATTTGCCACAAGTATGCAATAAGTGTGAAAACAATAGAAGATTTTAGAACATACCGCATATGCCAAGCAGATGGCACGGAGATCGATCAATCTTAAACCTACTTGTCTCTCTAATCTAGATATACAAAAATGAAAAAAAATATATAATAAAAAATATATTTTTTAATAAGTAAAAATAAAATAAAATAAGGAAAAAAACCCATGTGATTCTCATAGTTCGGGTTTTCTTGAAATTTGTATGATTCTAAAGCTGAATTGTGTATGGTACAGTGTTTCAATTTTGATGGAAAATAATCCTAAATGATACAAGCAAAAGTGGGGAATGAATTTGGTTTGGTGCCAGGAGCATGCATGGCAATGTTTTGTTCTTGTATTATTTTTTTCCCCTCATAAAGGATATACTTGTTTAAATATTGGGTAAATTTCCCACTAACTTTATATCTCAAATGTTATCAAACATAAATGTATACGAAATCAAGTTATTTCACACAATTAAAATTTTCAATATATCAAATCCCAAAATCAGCACCAATATCATGTTCCCAAACATAAATGTATACAAAATCAAGTAATTAATTAAGTTATCTAACGTCAAGAAATTTTTTAATGCTATAGTGCTACCATATACATGGAAGATGGTATTGGCACTTTATTTTTTTTGCACTTGCCAGATAAATTTAATTAATTTTTTTTTTTTTGTATCTTTTATTTTAATTTATTGGATATTGTCAAAAGAGATCATTTATTTAACACAAATACTCCTGTTTTGGGGGTCTTGTCAAAAGATAATTTATTCGGTAGGCATAATTTTTTTTTTTTCTTTTTCTTTTGAGTTTGGTCAAAAAAGATAATTCATTCAACATGGATAACCTTTTTGGGGGTCTCGTCAAAAACATTCAACAAAAATATTTTTTTTTTTCAAATTAAAAAATACTTTTTAAAAGTTTTTCCTGTTGGATAAATTGCCTTTTTTCAGTGGATACGTATTAAAAAAATTACTTCTTTTGATAAGACTAAATAATAAAAAAAAGATTAATTCTATTGGATAAATTAAATCTTTTGACAAGACCAATCATAAATTCCCAAAAAAAAGTTATCACTTGTGAGGGAAAAAAGCCTCAAATAGAAGTTAATTTTGTTGAATAAATGATTTGTTTTGATTGGACACACAAAAAAAAGTCGATATTGAATAAATCATTTCTTTTGATGTCAAAAATTAAATTAAATTATCTTTTTTAAGAGAACTTCCGGAAAAGAAAAAAAATTTAGCCCGTAAAAAAGAAGAAGTAAAGGAAGTAAAGAAGGTGAAAAAAAGTAAAAGTTGCATAAATAATAGTTTTGGTATTATAAAATAAGGAATGAAGTATTAACAAGTGAGACCTTTTTATCATTTCGTTTAAATGAAAAATGTAAGTGTAATTGAAAAAAGTGAACCGCAAATATAAACTCATTTAATTTGATTAATAATATTATGATAGGCAGGTATTTGGTTCGCTCAGGGCACCGTGTTCTGGTCACCGGTTTGGTGCGTCCGTTTGAGCCATTAAGTGTTGTGCACGCCCAATGCATATTCGCTGATGACATGGAAATTTCTGAAATTTTCTCCTAAAATACCAAGCGAAATAAGCCACGAAACCGGAATTTGATTAATCAAAGCATCAATGGGTTATTTATGCCTGTCATTTGATTCGATTTACGGTCGGTCACCGTTTATTCACGAAAGTAAGAGCGAGAAACAATTTGGTGAAGAGCGACCAAAATTTTTGAGAGGGGGACCAAAATTTGCAGAGAGAAGTGGTGACGGTGATGAAGGGTTTTGGAAGACTGATAGGACGGGCTCTCCTCTGCAGAAGATTGGAACCCTACGCAGAGAACAGTGTTCGATACATATCTCGTCGCCTCTTATTCGCCTCTTCAACAACGTCTCAAACTTTATCTGATTTCACGAAATCTTCATTTAACTCTTCTTTGCACTCCTCAAAATGGGGCCATTTCGTAGGTTGGTTCGCTTCAATTTACATCTCTCTGTGTATACACATACATATATGAATTGGTATTTGTGTATTTGCCTAAAAGAAACGGAAGTTGAAATTCGTGTTTTATCTTGTTTGAGCTTCGAAACATTGATTTTGATAAGCAATTGTTGTGAGTGAGCAATGGTGAGAGTGTTTGTTTGATGAGCGCTCATTGTGATTGGGCCTTGGGAGGGTGTGTTTGTCTTCCTTATGTATGTATGTAGTAAGTGTCATGCTCTGTAACAAAATTAATTAGGTCGTTTGTTGGAATTTGTATTTTTTGTGGATCTCATGGGTTAAAAGTAGCTGTTTTGGTTGATTACATGTGAATTGAATTATCAGTTTTAAGTTTTAACAAGAAGTGGATGCTAACCTGGAACTATATGGGACTTGTATTCAAGTGGCTATTGTCAATGAAGAAGATTGGTATAGCGTGTCTTCCAACTAATATTTGTAGGGAATTGGCTCTGCTTGAAGCGAACCTAATTAGGAGTTCATTTCCCCTCGAAGTGAACCAAAATTCTTACTTATATTTTATCAATTTTGGGAGAAGTAGACATCAGGGTCAGGATACAGAAGCTAAAACGGGGAATGATAATTATTTCCAACTATTATCTGCAACCAAATAGAGTTAAACTGTGCACGTATGTTACTAGCTTTTGGATTTAAAACATTTGCAGACAACAGAAATGTATTAACCTCAATTGGTGTCATCTGCTAACAAAGTTTGGGCCCTTGACCAATTTTTTCATTTGTTGTGACTTGTAAGGTTTAATCATCAGTTAAGAATGGTACTCTTTTATTCGTGACAATAATGGTTAATGTTTTTTTTGTCCATTGGGATTTGGGAGCTACTATGGGGCGAATGCCAATGCTTAAATCATGCCATCTATTGGGAGAAAAAAAGAATAAGGAGACGGGGCTTGTGCTGTGTTGAAATAGTAATATACTAACTTTTTCATTAAAATCCCCACCCCCTGGCCCCTCTTTATTTTTCTCTCTAATTGTTCCTTTTGTGTATATAATGTTCTATCTATTTTTGGATGATAACATTGTTAGAAAAAAAATCTGTTGTAAAATTTTGAAATGTGGGTATATGAAGTTTGAAGAACAGTAGATGCTTTTATGGTTTTTCTCTGACATTACATTGGACAGGACAGAGGAGGACCATGTTTATCGCAACACAATCCACTCCTAATCCTTTGTCACTCATGTTCGATCCGGGGAAGCCAGTTATGGAAGTTGGGAGTGCAGACTTTCCGAATGCTCGTTCAGCCATGAACTCTCCACTGGCTAAAGCGTTATATGGCATCGATGGTGAGCTTGTTTTGAAATTTATATATATATTTTTTTGATAAGTTTGTTTTGTAATTTATATTTATGTACTGTTGTGTTTGTTTGGGATTTTGTTTTACTAAATCATATGCCGTGTTGTGCATGCCACTTTTTTAATGGCTGCTTTTGGCTTCCATTTTTCTTGTCAAAATGCTTTGTTAATTCTTAGGAGGGTTGAGTCATTAACCTTCACTTGATGAAACTTAAACCTAAGTTTATTTTATTTTATTCAATATATATATATATGTATTGCCAAAAAATATGACTAAATAGAGAAACGTCACCTATTCCTGAAAATTTAGAAATTCTACTTATCGTCGCATATTTTATTTTGTTTATTTTATTATTATTATTATTGGTTTTTTTTTTTTGGGGGGGGGGGGGGGGGGGGGGGGGATATGACAAAATAGAGAAAATGGATGCAGATGTAAGATGAATGCATATATAATCATGAAGATATTAGATATATTGATCCTTCTTCACTTGCAAGATTTATCAATCTGATGTAAGTCATGTTTTGAACCAAATTGATGTTACCTAAGCTATGCTCTTTAAAATATTTGGAAATAGGACAATATTGCTATAATACTTGAAGCACATGGTATTAGAGAGGAGGAGGAAGGAAAAAAAAGGAGATCTCTGTAGCAATGTACTACCTTGCTTAAAGTTACATTACTACGGAGAGAATTCATTCTAAAAGGAGTATAGGGTTGAGAGAGGGAGAATACAAGTGGATTATGAAACCTAACTTCATAGGTCTTATCAATGCACAAATGGTCCTATTTGTGCAACACTAGAATGAATTATTTGCATGGTTCAAATAGGTGAGAAGGTTGTTGGGGTATCAAATCTAATATGGTGAAAGTCCCTGGTGGACTTAGTTATGTAGTGTCAAGACTGACTTGTAAGAGAGTGTGGTAGCATTGAGGTAACCAGAGACTCCTCATGATTAGTGCTACGCCCTAGATTAGTTCAATTTTAGGGAGGTCTAGGCCTTAGTCCAGTGTTATTAAGGATTATTTTATGGAATTTATGCCAAAGGATATTAACTCAAATTTAAAATGTTATAATATTCGTGTGCGAGCAAGGTGGTGCTCATTCACTCGGGGGCTTACAGGGTTGTGCCACATATCCACACTGAGGTCCAATGACACGCTGCTACGTGAAGTTGGGCTGTCTGACTAGGAAGGGTAGCATTATGGTTTGTGGCTGTGTAGGTGGCCGGTGCAAGTGTGCAATGCTAGGGCCTAGGGGTAACATCATGGTGGCCAGATTTTCTGGGTAAGCTGCCTAATGAGATGCCTGTGTGTGTAGATGGGGTGGTTTTGTTGATGAATGCCATGGGGCAATAGGTATCATGCATTAAAGTTTTTCCATCTCATATGAGATATATGTTATTCAGAGAGATCACTTGATGTGTTTCTCTCTAAGGCAGGGCAAAGTGTCTGCAGAACTTAAAGAGGTTACCTTGGTGAGCACTGGACTTCAATCACAGAGCTAAGTATCTTTCAGATCTCTAGTGAGCTACAACATGATCATGTGCTATGAGGTGAGCCACTATGTAATGGCAAAAGTTCTGTAACATAGCTGCATGACATGAAGTCCCTTTAAGTATTGCTATTGAGCTAAGTTCAGAGATGAATTAGTTTGGAGATGGCATTAAGGTGCGTCTGTTGAGATTAGAACTTCAAGATCTTAAATGCATACATGTGGAGAAGGAAGGGTCCTGTTGGAGACATATGGGGAAAAGGCAGGATCTCATTGGATGTATCATACTTGTTTGCGAAGAAGGCAGTGAGATGTGTCTGAGATGACGTCCTCATGATGCCATATATAGATAAGTGCCATCTGAGAAGGCAATGAGATCTGTTTGCCACCAATCTTGCCTGTGAACAAGGCAGTGCTTCTGGTTAAGGTAAAATATAATAGTAGAAAGATCTACGGCTGTTTGTAGTTTGAAACAGATTGTGTGGTCAAAGAAGTATCAATTGAATCCCATTGAGGATGCTTCCATACATTCATATACCCGTAGAAAAGTCAAAGATTATGTCTACTGGAGACAGTAATACTTGTCAAAGGCAAGTTAAGCTAGTTGAAGATAAGCTTGCCAAGGAGGCATAGGCTTAGCCACTGGAGGTGATAAGTATGCTGTAGATATTAAGTCATTTGGCAATAGTAAGCCTAATTAGAAGGCAAGCAACATGGTCAATTGAACTTGCTGGAGTTGTGAATTTTGATGCTGCACAGTTGAAGATTTGTGCAGTTGAGATGTAACCTCACCTCCAAAGGTGTTTGCGAGATTATGAGATAGTTTGTGCAATAGCTCCATATGCTTGATTTCAAAGAATCCTTGGGCACTACTCTTGTGGAGGGTGCCACTTGTCAAGGTCGGGATGCCATGTGGATTTTCATAGGAACCATGACACTTAGGCCTACAAATCTGGCCGATTTGTTAGTCCTATGGCTTTTAGAGCCATTGTTTACATGCAAGTGGGACCCCATTTTATTCCACTTGCATGTAATCAATGGCTTTAAAGTCATAGGCCTAACAAATCAGTCAGATTTGTTCCTTTTCTTAGAGGTGCATGTAGTAGAGGTAGAAGTGCCATGTAGGCTGCAACCTCGGTGGCACATGGCAAGCTAACTAATGCACCTCAGTCTCACATGAACACTGAATCAGAACCCACAATTTGCTAGGTGGATCATGGATGTTTCTTTTTATTGGGGACTAGTTTAAGTTTTTCAAAACCACATATACAAACTTCTGACAACTAGATTATTTTGTTAATTTTATACAATGTGTCCATCACACAAGATGCTAGCCTATCAATTGTGGAATATATGTTAGCCCTGATATTGTTTAAGGGAATTCAATTGGACACTAAAGATTTACATGAACCATAACTTTTGATTAAAAACATCTCAGTAATTAAGTTTTAATTTACTTCTTGATGCGCAGCCAAAAAAAAAAAAAAATTTTGTTTGAAGTTCATAATTGATGCAAAAATTTTGGACCATGACTTTTGAGAATGTAGTTGTAAATGGCTGTTGGAGACTCTATCGCCTATATATAATTTAGGGTGATATAGGTGACTTCATAGTTGAAATAGGGCTTTGTTGAGCATATATGCCACAAATATAGCATAAAGGATTACTTATCAAAAAAAAAATATAGCATAAAGGATTAATTGTTTGATTTAATTGAAATGACACTTTATTGAGTGTATAGTTGATGATGATAAACTTTGTTCCCGTGAAAGATGACTATAAACTAAGTTGAAAAATTACTTCTACTTAGTATTTGTATCTACGAGAGAATCCCGTCGTTGCCTGATCCTTACTAACTTAAGTTGAAGTTGAAATAGTATTTGTATCTATGAGAGAATCCCGTCGTTGCCTGATCCTTACTAGCTTAAGTTGAAGTTGAAATAGTATTTGTATCTACAAGAGAATCCCATCGTTTCCTGATCCTAACTAATTTCAGTTGAAGTTGGAATAGTAATTGTGTTTCCAAATAACAGCACGTGGATCTTCTAATGCTTTATATATGTTAACATGATCGTATGATCATTGGCAAGGCCTTGTGATAAATGTTAATTACATCAAGACATATGTACCATATACAATATCTTTGATTTAATGTTTACTATTAAGCAAACAACATCCGCTGGCTGTTCTGTTCTGGTTACTATTCTAGTCATGCTGTTCTTAGTTTACAAATTGACTCTTGATCGTTCTGTTGGCTCGGAATTATTTCTCTCTCTTTTCCAACTGCTAAATTTCACCTCATGTATAGTTATTAGTTCCTGAACTTTGGTCTAGATTTTCAGTTTCCACCCGGATGTATTAGATTGGGTTAAGAATCCCAGATGCGGATTATGCTTTTAGAAACCTGTAATGCTTGCTCTCCTGCTTGTTATGTTGGCAATGATTGAACCCACAAGCAGACAATTTCTCCACAAAATTTATCAATTTTGTTCATGACATGCTTTTGTCTTCAGGCCTATTTTTTGTGACTAAATTCCACCATTTTCTAATTCCTTGGTCACTTGTGGTGATGAATATAAATTTAGTTTTGTTTCATAATGTCCAATCATGTTTGCCTTATTTATTTTTCTGTCGATTTTTTTTTGAATGCTTGCGAGTTAGTCTAACCTAATCTCTTGCTGATACAGGAGTTACTCGGGTTTTCTTTGGATCAGATTTTATAACCGTGACAAAATCAGAAGACGCCACGTGGGATTTTCTGAAACCCGAAATTTTTGCAGCAATTATGGACTTCTATTCCTCTGGAAATCCACTGTTTTTGGATTCAAATGCTGCAGTTGCCATGGACACAGCTATTCATGAAGTATCTCCTCTAGCTTTTGTTTTTTTGTTTTTGTTTGTTGTTGTTGTTGTTGTTTAACTTTGAAGCTTAGTTATCGATACATGATGAAGACTGGACTTAACTCTGCTTTTTCACCTTTTATTCTTAATTTACCTATTCCAAAGTAGTTCAGTAGCATTAGCTTCTGGCATGTAGTGACAGTTGAATAAATGGTGCGATGCTCCTTCTGAGTGGCGTTGATATTGAAACTAACAGTGGTAAGGCGTAGTAACATTTGCAAAATATGGGGCAGCCAGCGTCAGCTACCATAGAGGGTTTTAGAGGTCATTTTGACCTGCCTTAAGGTTTATATTTTTTATTTTTATTTTATTTATTTAATTTTGTTATGTATATATATATATTTATAAGTACCTTGAGGGAGTTTGAGGATATCTGAAATAAAAAGAGAGAGATTTCTCCTCTAATCTTCTTATTAGGACTCCAGAATATTGAGGAATGAAAAGAGAGTTAGGATAGATGATACATGGATTACTAAGTGAAAATTCTCTACTCCTAAGCTTGTGTTGTTTTTGCAGAAAACATTTGGAAGGGTACCTTTATGGATGAAAGGTCTTCTCCTCAACTTCTTACTGGAATAGAAATTCATAATCTTAGAGAACACTGACATATGAATGCCTTTGGGAATTGTTCCAGAATGTTCACTGTCTTCTCTCTAAAGGGAATTGAGCATGAATATAGCTAATTTCAAATATGCCTATCCCGAACTTGACTATGCACTTGAACCCTTTTTTTTTTTTGATAAGCAAAGATGTATTAGAAAGCGTTCAAAAGGGGAATATGTCCCAAGAGCCGTCCCAAGAGCTGTACAAGAACCAAGAACAAAACAAGAGAAAAGAGAAGACCTATGGACCCAAAGACCCCAAAAAGTGCATGATCTCCTCAACAGAAGAACAATCTCTCCCCATACCTCAACAAAAAAGAGAACAAACGATAGAGTACTTTAAAACCCCAATGGGTAACTCCTCCCCAACAAAGGATCTTCTATTACGTTCTTTCCAGAGGCACCACCAAATGCAAAGAGGAGTCGCCCTCCAGAAATTGCGAACACGAGCCCCCACCCTTTGCCCCCTCCAAATGTCAATAAGACCCCATGAGGTTTGAGGCATAACCCACTGGACGCCAAAAAGACCCAACATAAGGCTCCAACAGTCATGGGCTACTGGGCAGTGCAAGAGAAGATGGTCCACAGACTCTCCATCGGTCATACACAGACAACACCGATTAACAATGATATGTCTTCTTTTCCTCAAATTGTCCAGAGTCAAGATCTTACCCCAAGCAGCAGTCCAAGCAAAGAAAGCCACCCTAAGAGGAGCCTTCGAAAGCCAAACCGTTTTCCACGGGTAAGAGGAGGCCTAAAAATCGGAAAGACAGAAGAAGAAAGATAGGACCTGAAAAGTCCCCTGCGAAGAAGGCACCCAAGTCAATAGGTCTGCCCAGTACCATCCACCTCCTATCGATACAATAGATCCAACAAGCCAAAGATATCATCTAGCTCCCAATCCTGAAAGGCTCGCCGGAATTGAACATCCCAAGACAACCTACCGTTATTAAGGCGATAGTAGTTGGCAACCAAAGCATGACTATCCACAGCAATCCTGAACAACCTTGGAAACCGTCTACACAATGGACGTTCCTCGCACCAAGGATCCTCCCAAAACCAAGGATCCTCCCAAAACCGGACATTCCGACCTTCCTGAACTCTGAATCTAATATGCTTAGAAAACTCATCCTAACCCTTTCCAATAGAATGCCACAGGCCCACTCCAATAGTAGATTTAGCCGGTCTAGCAGACCAACCCCCTCTCTTCTCCCCAAATCGACAAGCAATGATCTTACTCCATAGTCTATGTTTTTCACTGCCAAAACTCCAAAGCCACTTGCCCAGAAGAACCCTGTTGAAAGGGGCCAATCTTCGTATCCCAAGACCTTCCGACTTAAAAGGCCTGCAAACCTGCTCCCAACGAACAAGATGATACTTAAACTCCTACCCCCTACCACCCCAAAAGAAATTACGTTGAATCATCTCAAGTCTCCTGACAACAGAAGAGGGAATCTGGAACAAAGAAAGGAAATAAGTTGGAAGACTGGACAGAACACTCTTTACCAACACGACTTTTCCTCCCTTCGAAAGATATTGTTTTTCCCACCCAGCCAATCTTTTCTCGAAGCGCTCAATAACCGGGTCCCAACTTCCTGCCCTTCTTGAGGAGACGCCTAAATAAGAAATAGGGAAAGAGCTCGTCCTACATCCAAGAACAGCTGCAAGAGAAGCCACCTCCTGAACCTCCCCCACATGGACAAGCACACTCTTACCCACGTTAATTCTCAAACCAGAAATATCCTGAAAACAAACCAGAACACACATCTCAAATATCTCAATTGGGACACCTCTGCCTCACAAAAAACCAAAGTATCATCCGCGAACAGCAAGTGAGAAATCTCAAATTGATGGACTGCCTCTGGACCAATCTTGAAACCCCGTATAAGACCAAAGGTCATAGTCCTCCTCATCAGCTTGCTAAGAGCCTCCATGGTAATAATAAACAAGAAAGGGGAGATGGGGTCCCCTTGCCTCAAACCACGAGAGCTGCCAAAAAACCCGAATGGAGAGCCATTAACTAACATTGAAAATTTGACAGACGAAATGCAAGTAACAATCCATTTCCTCCATCTCTCTCCGAAACCCATCCTCTCAAGCAAATAGAACAAGAAATTCCTGCAAACATGATCGTAGGCTTTCTCTATATCCAGCTTACACAGAACTCCAGGAGCCCTGCTACGAAGCCTAAAATTCACGCATTCACTGGCAATAAGAGCGGAATCCAGAATCTGTTTGCCCCCAATAAACGCATTCTGAGACTCTGAAATGACTCCGTCCAAAACCCCCTCAATCTCGATGCCAGAACTTTAGCTATAAGCTTGTACAAACACCCAATCAAGCTAATAGGTCTAAAGTCCTTAATATCAGAAGCTTCTTCCTTCTTAGGAATCAAAGCAATAAAAGAAGTGTTTAGCTACTTTTCGAACTTTCCATTGGAATGAAACTCATGAAAAGTACCCATAATCTCCTGTCTGACCACCTCTCAGCTTTCCAGAAGAAAACCCATAGTGAAACCATCCGGGCTTGGAGCTTTATCTCCATTACAACTCTTCAAGGCCTCCAGAACCTCCTCCATAAATGACCTCTCAAGCCCATCCCTATCCTCCACAGAAATAGAATCGAACGGAAGACCATCAAGCCTTGGCCTCCAGCGAAGAGGCTCAATATATAACCTCTGATAGAAAGAGACAATCCCCGTTCGCACTTCCTCATCAGAAACCAACAACGAACCATCCACACGAACCTGGCCAATATGATTGCCCTTCCTATGAGCATTAGCCGTTCGGTGAAAAAACTTAGTGTTACAGTCTCCTTCTTTGAGCCACAATGCCCGAGATTTATGCCGCCACGAGATCTCCTCCATCACCTCAATCTCAGCACATTCAGCCTGACAAGCTGCCCTCCTATTACGTCGAAGCTCATCAAGACCTCCCGCCGCATCCAATCTATCGCACTCAGCAATATCAGCGAGGGCCCTATTCTTCCTTCGCTCCAGATTACTGAAAACCTCCTTATTCCATCTTTTAAGTTTATCCTTCAGATTACGAAGCTTTCCTGCAAGGATAAAACTCGAAGTAGCCACCACCATGTCTTCCTCCCACTAAGTCCGCACCAAACCCTGAAAGTCCGCCGCTCTAAGCCACATATTTTCAAATCTGAACGGGGTGCGACGAGGTCTCAAACCTCCACAGTCCAAGACCAAAGGAATGTGATCCGACGTCACCCTAGCCAACACAGCCTGAACTGCGTCAGGAAACTGCTCCTCCCACTCTCCGGAAATCAAGAATCTATCAAGGCGGGAGAAAGTAAACTCTCCCTACCACTAGACCAAGTAAAAGTAGCTTCCTCCAAAGGGAGATCAATGAGATGATGATCATCGATAAACTCCGAAAAAAGCCTCTTAGCCGGAGTCCATGATCCACTTGTAGACCTCTCCAACGGGGATCTAACCACATTAAAGTCAACTGCCACACACCATGGAAGAGACCACATCTCCTGAACCCCACTAAGCTCCTCCCACAGCGCATGCCTCTCGCAGTCATCAACTGGCCCATAGACACTAGAGAAAGCGTAAGGGAAGTCATCCTCTTCCATCACAAATGCACAAGACAAAGAGAAGAGCCCCCTACAAACATCCATCTTACCCATCCATCTCCTTCCCACATGAGAAGAATGCCTCCCGAAGTCCCCATCGAATCCAGTGCCTCCCACTCAACGAACTTACTACCCCAAAGACTCTTGACAACTCTATCAGTCATAGAATCAATCTTCGTTTCTTGGAGACGCACCAAATGAACCCCCCATTTCCTCACAGCCATCTTCACTACATTCCTCTTGCCCAGGTCATTAAGGCCACGCGTTCTAGGATAAAAGTCGTAACTTCATGGAAACACAACAGCGCCCCCATCCCCCTTACCCCTCCCTCCCTCCTTATCTCCCCCCTTCTCCTTCTGCCCCACATGATTCCCATCATAATTCACATCACAACAGAGATTTCTCAACTCCCTCTCCCCTCTCCAAGAGGGATGAGTCTTCTTCCTCCTATTCCTCCTTTTGGCCTGCTCTCGGTTGCCTCTGCAAGAAACACCCAACAAATCACTCGCGGCCCCGATATTCAAAACCCAGTCCGTGCCAACGTCATCACACTCTTGCCTGTCAAGAGCATTGGTAGTCCCCTCCGGACGAACAACTGCCAGAGGGTCAACAAGCCCTAAATCAGAGAAGCTCTCTTCCTCCCACAGGATCATATCAAGGGACATACCCTGTTTCTCTCGGCTCCCATCTGTACAAGTCTTCCAGTGAACAGCATTGTCCACCCCACTGTCATGAGCCTCAGTAAAAGGGTCTGAATCACATG